CGATAATATATCAACCTTTAGTTAATTAAAATATCAAATGGCCTGAACGACAACAAAAGGCAAAAATCGCTTGCCACGGACGTTCTTGATTTCGGCGTAACTATCTTTTCATTTCCTACATTAATTGGAAAGAACCACGTGCGATCATGCGATGAAGATACCCACTGTCTAATTTCTGTTAAATTACAATGTGTGCTTTCTACAACATTTTTGACACATGATTCGAGGACAGAATTTCGAGGACAAAGTCTTCGTCGTGTTTCGCGCGCATAGAAATTTGTTTCATCGACTTTTTAAACGAATCGCAACGTATTACAACGAACGACATTACAATCTTAGATTATTGTATTAGAAGGGACATTAGTTGATACAGTGTTGTAAAGATTGAGACGTATAATTTGTATAATTTACAGCAATCTCTCAGTATCACTGGGAAAAAGAACCAGCAGCGAAGGAGAAACTAAAGGCCAACGTTGATACGAAGCTCCCCTTCACCCTTCAAAAGTTGAACGATCGAGTGAAGAAGGAGGGAGGATACTTCGTCAACGGAAAGGTAACCCTTGTTACCGTTTATTTGCTTCGCGAAATCTCTAAACAAGCTACTGCGGAAGCTATTCCCACAACGAATTCGTAAATTCGTAAATTTGTAAACATAGAGGGAAGGAAGTTTCGAATTTTACGACTTATTTTGGTACAAATAATGATCTTGCTAATTTTATTATACGTTAATTGAACAGTGAGGTTTATATGAATTTTAATACTTTAGTGACTTACCCAGTAACATTGTCTTTTCTTTCATTTGTTCAATTCTCCGCGAATTTCGGACGTCCGTGAGATAGGATTAAGAAATTTCCAAAATGTCTGTTATGTCTCCAAGTGATTCGATAACCTTATACATTCTACAGAAAATTTTCAATTTTCGTTGCAGCTGTCGTGGGCAGACCTCTACTACACCGCAACGTCGGACATGTTTTCCAGCCTGTTGGAAAGTGACGTGAACAAGGACTACCCTGAACTCAAAAAATTGATAGAGAAAGTGAAAACGCTGCCGAACGTCAAAGCTTACCTCGAGACAAGACCTAAAACCACGTTCTAAACGTCCAGACATTTGACACATACTATCACCAAGAATTCTTTGCTCGGTTTATTTCTCTTTGGCACATTTTTTTTTATATTTATCACGTTTCATTGTCGCGTGGGTGAATGGTTGTCGTAAATTCTTATGTAGCGTAAAAATAGAAATAAATATTTTTGACGCTTATTTTTCTCTTCCTTTGTAATCCTGGGACGCTCATTTACGAAGCACAGATAATACACTTAGCGTTGCACTATTATTTTGTGATGATCTTTTCCTCAGTTGATAGTGTGCAACCTTTAAATAAATTTACGATTCGTTCGTGACTTTAAAATAGTCTTGATCGTATATTGACTGGTTCGTCGACGCCTCGTCGCTTTCAAATAATTATTTTTAGTCTTTGATTAAACTTGAAATCGTCTGGGATCATGGTTTCATGGTACTGTGTAACCTTCAAGTATTTGCTATCGCTGCTTGTGAAAACCGAAGCATGAAGTGGTTATCTGATAATTTTCTTCGTTTCAGCGTTTTATGTTCGAGGATTGGTTTCGATTATCTTAATAACGAAAAGAAAAAAAAAAAAAGAAAAGAAAAGAAATGAAATTAAAATACAATTCATTGGCTGAAAGACGAGCATTTATCTCTCGTTGCAACAGCCATCTAAAAAGATATATACCTACGTAATTAATTCTTCCAACGTGTGACAAGTTCCTTCTGCTGTTACTAAAATTATCACTAAGTTACAAGTGTCACGAAAACATTCCAATGATCTAACATTCTATTATGCACCTCCTTCAGTTTATTGTTCGAGTGGTTTATCTTTGGTTTCCAATTTAGACTCTACGTACATGAAAGGAATGTGTCAACGTACACGAAAGAGTATGTAACTGTGCAACAGAATCTCGGTGTTTATTTAAATATTAAATCTCGTTCGTAGGTTGTTCTCAATACACTGGAAACTTTCTAACATTACTTACAACGTATAATTTACAAACACACACCTTCTCGAAGGACAGCGTCCTCGTACAAGTTTCTTGCCCCCTTCGAGTACACAAACTTTCACTTGAAATTTGTCAATTTGCCCGCGTTAAGTACATATGGCACGTTTGTTCGACGAAGGGACACGTTTTCGGACCGGAAACGAGCGTTAAGCGATCAAGTCACAGTTCAGTTCACCCATGTACCGTGCCAGTTCCATGCCGCTGAACTCCGTTTCATCGTAGTCCTGCAAACTGGAGTTACTGATAGTGTTTGCACTGTCGATACTCGGATGGCTTTGGAACCGGGCTGGCAAGACCGTCGTCGTTTCCGGTTTCGAAGTTGCACGAACTGCTGTCTTCTGTTGCGACGAGAATAGCTCTTTGGTGCCCAGTCTCAATCTCTCGGCAAGTATCTCTGTTCGAAGAAGAAAATTACAACCTACTAACATTAGAGGAATAGTTGAAGAACTATGGATAATTATAATTCAGTAAATTAGCGACATGTTGTCGCAGGAGCAAGGATGATCAATGTCAAAGTCTGAAGATTATTTTTCAGGCAATTGAATACCAAGTTCCATGATGTTTCGTCGATGTGAAAATAATCGCAGTGGCCTAGCTGAAATCGCTAGTTTCTCTGGTGATTTTTGCTTCGTTAATCTTTTTCACATGTAACGATACGCTGATTGCTTTGGTCGTTAGCCACAGGCCATAAGCTTTAAATAGATTCTTCTAACTTCTAAATATTACTGCTCGTTCTTCAATGATCCACGATTTCATTTTGTCAACATCTTGTCTGAAACATCGCGGTGTACAATCGTGTATTTCCTACAAAATTTGCCTAAAATTCTTCGTACTCTTCTGTCATTTCCATAGCTTCCAGTCGTCTAATATAACGATAATACAAATGAAAGGCAAGACATTACACTTACCGAGCGTGGCAGTCCTCGCTGGTTTTTGAACGTTCACGTAAGTCGCGGTCATCACGTTGTTGTTCCCTTCGTTGAAACTCTTGCTGACGGACGACATCAGCGTGAACTGACTCGAGTTCGAGCCTCTCGACATGCTTCGTGCAAATTCACGATGGCTCGTCTTGTTCACCGTCGTCGAGTCAGACCGATCCTTCTCGTTCTCCTTTCGATCGTTCGATCCGTTCAGCTCGGTGGTGTTGGTCATCCTCAGCTTTTGGTTGTCTTCGCTGACGGAAATTGACGGCGAATTTTGACGATTATCCGCCTGCCTGAGTGTGGACCTCGCGTACCGCGAGAGGCTACTGTAGGTCGGTTGTCTTGGCACTGACTTCCGGGAGGACCACTTCCGGCCGCAGTGATTCGACAGCATCGACTGAAAGTTAACTTCAGTTTGTTCAACGCACATCTGTCGAAACTCGTTGGCAATGAATGTGTCGCGCGGTTGGCAATCGCATTTTCAATTATTATTACTTAGTATTCGAATTGTTACACCTTCTCGTG